TCCTTGTTATGGTCTATATTTAGAATCCTACAAAGTAATCCCAAAAGGAGCTACTTAGGGGCCTATGGGTAAACCCTAAACTCTAAAAGCCGGCAACTTGGCGGTCTAAGTGAACCTTTCGGGGCGCGTTTTGAAGAGTTAAGACAACTCCTCATACTTGAGCAGCGGCCTGGCAGAATCACCAGGAGGGATGGGTTTAGGGGTTTAGGCTTTAGGGTTTATGTATGTATTTATTTAAGTATGTATGCATGCAGGCATGCATGCATGATTACATGTATGTAAGTATGTATGTATGTACGTATGTATGTATGCATGCATGTAGGTATGCATGGAGCTGCGCCGGCAGATGCAGAACAGCATCCAGGCCTCGAAAGCAAAAAGGGAAATTTTGGCGGTTTTAGGGTTTAGGGTTTAGGGGGGTGTAGGGATTTAGGGTTTAAGGTTTAGGATGGTTTCTTGGGCTCAGACTCCAGAAGAGTGTGTTGGTTTGAGAGATTCTGCTGGACATCATGCTCCATCCCCCCCACCTAAGTACACTCCCCCCCGTCTCAAACTGTGGGAATTCTGGTCTGTTCCGTGTATTCTTCTTGACCGACGAGGCAGCGTTTGTCATCAGCAGTACGCCACCCTGAGTATCAATTCCCCAGACCATGTGAAAAGCAAACCTGGAAGCTTGACTTTGAACCTTTGTGCTTACACTTTTGTGTAAACCCGAATCCCTAAGCCCGGAACACCAAACCCTAAATCCAAAAAGAAGTGCAAAACTCGAACCCCAAACCGCTGTTCAAAGTCTGCTTCACAGGTTTCCTACCACGTGTTCCACAGCGGGCACGAAACTTCCTCTGGATCTGCGCTGTGCCCTCGGGTCCACGAGTCAAAATCGTCGGCACAGGTCTTCGCGAAAATCAGGGTCTAGGGTTCAGGGAGTAAAGTTCAGGGGCCAGGCTTCTGGGTGAGCACTCCGACAGGCGTCCGACATCTTGTGCGTTTGCTTCCCGACGCCCCGAATCCCAGAACCTTGAAACTAAGCCCTAAGTCTTAAATCTGGCGCCCGAGACAGAACCGACGCCATTTCTTCAGAGTGCGCAGTGGATCTTGAGAAAGGACATATGCTGCTGAATGGAAAGGTCAATGGGGATTGTTGCAGGGTACCTTGGTTGTTTCAAGTTTGGCCACCGCCGCAATTAGAGTCCGAGCTTCCGACAGAGAAGTCCCAACCAGCACCGTCGTCATGTGGAAAGTTAGAGTAACCCTCACTAGTAACCCTGATAGTCACCCATGCCATAGCCTTAATACCCCTAAACCCTAAACTCTAAACCCTAAACCCTAAACCCTAATACTCTAAAACCCTGAAGCTGTGCGGGGTTTTCCTCCTCTCCTGAAACTTGAAACCCTTTACCCTAAACTCCTCTCCTGGTCTATCGACCGTTCGTGGGCGGACTCGTCTCCCCGAGGAAAAAGGAGCTCGCACAAAGCATAAAAACGCGGTAAAGCCCTGAACGGAAGCCCTAAATCCCAAACCCTAAACCCTGAGCCCTGAACCCCAAACCCAAGCGGGCCTCTAAGCGGAAGCACGGAAAAGCTGAGCAAACCGAAATGCCAAACCCTTAGCCCTAAAGGCGCACGTGCGCGCAAGGGTGAGTGCAAGGACGATAAGTAGCACTCACTTGCCTTATATCAAGGCTTCAAAGTGGAAATGTATTTAAAACCGTGTGCGTGCAAGAGCGCGCAAGGGCGAAGCACAAGGGGTGTCATGTTTCGTTGGTTGCCATGCGGTAGGTCTTAGGTTTGAGGCAGGTGCGGTAGGTCTTAGGTCTGAAGGTGCGGTAGGTCTTAGGTCTGAGGTGCGGTAGGTCTTAGGTCTGAGGCAGGTGCGGTAGGTCTAAGGTCTGAGGCGCGGTAGGTCTAAGGTGCTCAAAAAAAAACCTTAAACCCCTAGAAGCCCAGTGAGCTCCATGAAGGCCTTTGCCTCCTTGGACTTGGATAGATGGCAAGATCACCGAGGACTTCCTGTAATGGGGGTCCTTTTAAGGGTTCGGGTTTAGGGTTTAGGGTTTAGGGTTGGCTCGAGGGTTGTGTGGAACCTACGGCTTAGCAAGGCTTGTTTCAACAGCTTCTTTCCCAGGTTATGAAGGGAAGGTCTTGTTTCATAGAACCACCTACTACTACTACTACTACT